ACCACAGCTCGAAAATACAGGTGCATCTCAATAAATTAGAATGTCGTGGAAAAGTTCATTTATTTCAGTAATTCAACTCAAATTGTGAAACTCGTGTATTAAATAAATTCAATGCACACAGACTGAAGTAGTTTAAGTCTTTGGTTCTTTTTTTTGGAGCACTTCATGCTTCCTTCTGCTGACTAGCTTTTTGTAGATGCTGATTTCATTTTCCAGCAGGATTTGGCACCTGCCCACACTGCCAAAAGTTGGTTAAATGACCATGGTGTTGGTGTGCTTGACTGGCCAGCAAACTCACCAGACCTGAACCCCATAGAGAATCTATGGGGTATTGTCAAGGGGAAAATGAGAAACGAGACCAAAAAATGCAGATGAGCTGAAGGCCACTGTCAAAGAAACCCGGGCTTCCATACCACCTCAGCAGTGCCACAAACTGATCACCTCCATGCCACGCCGAATTGAGGCAGTAATTAAAGCAAAAGGAGCCCCTACCAAGTATTGAGTACATGTACAGTAAATGAACATACTTTCCAGAAGGCCAACAATTCACTAAAAATGTTTTTTTTATTGGTCTTATGAAGTATTCTAATTTGTTGAGATGGTGAATTGGTGGGTTTTTGTTAAATGTGAGCCAAAATCATCACAATTAAAAGAACCAAAGACTTAAACTTCTTCAGTCTGTGTGCACTGAATTTATTTAATACACGAGTTTCACAATTTGAGTTGAATTACTGAAATAAATGAACTTTTCCACGACATTCTAATTTACTGAGATGCACCTGTATATCCTGAAAGTGAAGGGGAAACTTGCTGACAGCGGCAGTTACTTTCTAAGGTTGTTTTGTAAGGATTTACAAAGAATTAATATCCATTTCTGGATTATTAAAATCCAGATGATAAACCGCTGAAATTCTAGAGTGCTCTTTGACCGTCCCGGGATATTTTCTCTAGGTGTGAAACAATGGTGGGTGTTCTAGGAGTCCTTTTATCTTGAGAGAAGTGATGAAAAATTAATGATTTTTGGTAAATTCGCCGCAGCTCTATTCCTGTGTGTGACGCTGTCTTCGTAAACCGATTAATGCGGGCATAATGCCTCTGTGCAGAAAGACTTCACTCAGAGTGGGTTCTGTAACTGTGGCTGTGAGATTTAGGGCAACGCTGATGTTACATCACCTGGTTTAATCTCAAAGCTTCTCTTTTGCAAGAGCAGCTCCTTGGCCTGCAGAGAGCGGCCAACACCGCTGAATATTCAGAGGAGTGCGTTTGTGGACTAATAAAACCTTACAAATCCATGCTTCACTGTTAAGTTATGGGTTAATGTACAGTCAGCCGATCAGTATCGCAGCATAAACCAGTTTATTAAAGGTGCAGTAGGAGATCTTGGAAAATGCTAACTTTAGCCTGATAGCAGTGAAAGCGAACTTCCCACCCTCCCTGCAATCGCCGTCCAAAGGCACGCCCCCTGAACGCATATACGCTCACAGACCAGAATACCAGAGACAACATTACAATAGGCTACATCAGCGGTTCCCAATTCCAGTCCTCGCACCCTAGCATCCAGACGCTGCACACATCCGTAAATGAGAAGTTAAGTAAACTTCAACGGATTTCTCCTGCTCGGAGTAGGGAGCAATGAACACTGTGTAGGGATCGTATTGATCGGAACACAGTTTATGCCTGTAGCTCACTTCTAACAAGCTAGTTATCTGAATCAGGTGTGTTAACTAAGTGAGACATGCAAAATATGCAGAGCGCAGGGATGCGAGGACTGGAATTGGGCACTGCACCGGTGAGAAAACTTTATAGTACAGTTAGTAAAAGTACTACAATACCAGGAAGGAAGATCAGGATGTTGATGTTTGTCCGCCATTCTCGCTCTGTCTGCACAGTGTGTGTGAACGCGCTGATGACGTATCCTGTCTGCGCGAACCGGGTGTGCAGAGGTATGCAAATACTTATGTTGACAGAAGGTAGGAAAGCCAATTAAAACACTCGGACCGAGCGTTTTGATTGGACGAACATTTCTTGGTCCTATGCCTTCCACAGAATATATAAATACAGATAAATACATTTAGACCACTTAACTTAATGATTGCTATCGGGATGTGAAGAGACTTTCAACCAGCATAACAAAAAAAAATTCTGAAGATAATCACCTATTGCACCTTTAAACTGAAAATAAATACGTGGACATGACCTTACCTGTGTATATCTTCTGCTTTAGGCTTCCGCTAGGAAAAGTATCAATACCTACGTCTAATATAATTTACACTACAATCGATAACCGAGACGCAAAATAGCGCCGATTGCGTTATAACAAACCGCGGACTGCCACCAATCTGACCAATCAGAATCAAGTAGCCTATTCCAGAGAACCGCGTAAATGAGCACAGTAAACGGCCAATCACAGACTTACATAAAAACATAGTTTTATTAAAACATGCTACAGAGGGATAAACAAATTACATCAACGTTTCCTCATGGGGCGACTGATGCGACCCAGACACAAATTTATGACAGAAAAGAGGATTGAAGGTGCAAGCTGCGGTACGGCTTAGGAAAAATGTGTGTAAAACAGTTGAGGGTTAATTGAATTTTATAAAGTCCTTATTTAGGCGAAACATTTATAATACAAAAAATATGAACAGAAAACTGAGGACAAGTTTGAGTTGAGGTCTTCATCATAACAAAGTCACATCATTAACATTCTTACTGAGAAAAACATTTCCCTTAAAATTTTGATTACTTATCATTCATCAAAATTGATTGTATTTTCAGACAAGCCTGTATTAGACATGGAAACAACAATTCCACAAAAGCATCTATAATCTCATGAATATCCATGAATTTTTTTGGTAGGCTAATACATACCATTAAACGTGTATCTTGTAATTCAGTTCCTAATCATTGTGCTACAGAAACGTCAGTTTAATGTGCTCTTTAATCATAAAAAAAGAGTCAATGCTAAAATAATTGAATTTTATAATAATGGGTAAAATGTCTCATCTTAGCACCTTTGAGTGGAAATCATTGCATTTCCTTAAAACCAGAAAACCATTTTTAAACAACTAATACTTGACGTTATCTGCCATAAAAAGTTCACTCACAATTTCACACATCTGTATAGTTACCAAACAAGTTATAAATGACAGAAATCTGTAACAATGTGGTGCTCTTCGCATGCCAAATTAGCAGCAGACCACTTCTCTCCCATAAAGAGTCTGAGCAATTCAACATGGTGCATTAGATTTGTCACTGAAACTCATGACCATTCATCTTCATGTGACTGAAACCCTCAGCCCTAAGGACGTACTCAATGGTCTGGCACTTGTGTGGTTCAGTAGCTTTTGATAGAAAGCTGGTACCAATTACAAGGCAGAATGAGCTATAATGTGGTAGTTTAGTCATCAGCACCCAAAAAACATCGTTCAGAGAGGAACCGCTCATACAACCCGTGAAGAATTGCTAACAATGTCACTGCTACAATTTTAAAGACAGGTCTGCTGTCAAAAAAGACGGATCCACAGACTTTCTCCATGTGCATAGCTTATTCTCACGAGGTGAGAAAATTCAAGTGATATGCTGTTGATAAAGATATGATATTTTGTGTATACTTGAATTATTTCAGCTGTGATCCTGTAGTTAGAACCTATGGGGGCCTGATGATGGAAAAAATATGAGACGAGAGGAAAATGGCTCGTTTCAATGCTTTTGGGTTCCCTCGCAAAATTTTTGCATTCTCTCAAGAAACTCTTTTCCTCCCACTTCATATTAAAATTGTATTTTAATGCCTTTGCATTTGCTCGCAGCAAAGTTTCTCAGGGGAATCTAAAGGTTTTGAACACACAAAAGCATTGACATTTTTTTTCCATCACCATGTCCCTTTAGGACAGAGATGCCCAAACCAGGACCCTTGGGTCAAAGTTGGCCTGTGATGAACTTGGCCATGTCATGTCACAAGAGGGGGTAAACAAGAAATAATAGCATATCGTCATTTCTATTTTAGCATTGTAGAGAATGTAAGTGAATTTGGGGTTTTTTTTATTTTAATTTTAATATAACATAGGTACATATATAATGCAGCATTTACGTTTGACCCATGGCCCTCAATTAAAGTTAGGTTTTTGGCCCTTCATAGTAAAGTTTGGGTAACTTTGCTTTAGTGGCTCCCTAAAAACCCACTTATGTTTATTAGCCAAGCTTATATCTCTGTCGCTACAAAATTTTAAAAGAAATCCATTCTATTTTCCAAATAAATGTGGGGAAAAATTTAGGATTATTTGCAATGGATGGGTCAATCAATAGCACATTAACTTTCACACCTCTTGAGAGTTTTGGTTTAAAAGAAGAATAAAAAATACGTGAAAACCACAAAATACTGTACTGGTTAAACAGACAGTAAAAACAAGAAAAATAAATGTTTAAATACTTAAAAAAATTTAACTATTTCTCTACAGCTTGCAGAAAATAAAAACACTACAAACCCTTCAATGTAAGGTAACGCCAAACATTAGTCAATAAATCATGTCCATTCTATCCATATCATGTATGCAGGTAACAAAAAATGAAGTAAAGTGGATTGAATACAGTTCTTTTGGGCAGAATGAGTAGCTCTCTGAAGCTTAGGTCCCTTGTGTCCTTACGCCTCTGGCGAAAAAAGCTTATGTCCTCTCTCTCCTCCGGGCCAGTCAGCCTTCAAAACTACCAGCAGCACAGCACGAGGCACTGAGGTTTACATCTCTCTGCCAAGCACAATCCATTCACACTCCAGCTCTCACTGCTAGTGGAGATTCGCTCCAAAAATAGAGTCTTTCCACCACATTTTCCATATTTGCTTGAATATTTCAGTCACCATTTTTTTGTCTTCTAAAATGCTTGACAATTACTAGGGTACAAAAAAAAAACTTTTAAAGCAAAATTGATATCCTTCACTCTTAAACTTTCCACTATTTAAAAAAAAATGATGGCTGGTAAAGGAATATCATATTCTGTTTTTTTTTCTGAATCGCATTTAACTTTTGCTTTTGACTTTAAAAAGGGCACCCAATTTCCCTCTTAACATGAAAGTACAACTATAAATATGTTTAATATGCTGTACAGTTCACAATGTGCATTAAATAGTGTTTAAAAACATCATCTGTGGATCTGATTGAGGGAGGACATGTGGAGAATAAAGCTGGTACGTTTAGTGTCTCAGATGCGAATCTGGTAGCCATCACTGAGGGTGCTGAGTTCTGCCGGCTTTCTGTCCAGTGCTGCAGGCCTGCAAAGAAACATGTTTCTGTTAGTTTCATTTTAGAGATTATTGTTGCATAATGACAAATATGCTGAACCTTTCGGTTCATGGATTAAACGTTTTAGTGCAGAATGAACCACCTCAATAGAAGAGTATAAACAGGCCAAAATATTAAAATAAATATATTAAAACATGAAATTATGCACATTATTTTTATTAAATTATATGGCTTAAACAATAAATGAAACAATAAAATAAACAGTGTGTGGAAGTACATTATTGTTCAAAAGTTTGTGGTCTGTAAGATTTTGTCTTTGAAAGAAGTCTCTTCTGTTCACCAAAGCTGGATTTATTTGATCAAAAATACAGTAAAACAGTAATCTTGTGAAATATTAGTACAATTTAAAATAACTTTTCTATTTGAATATATATTTAAAATTCAGTAATTTACTTCTGTAATGTCAAAGCTGGATTTTCAGCAAGCATTACTTTAGAACCCTTCAGAAATCATTCTAAAACACTGAAATATTTCTTATTAATGTGAAAAACAGTTGAGCTGCTTAATATTTGTAATATTTATTCGGAATTCTTTGATGAATAGAAAGTTCAAAAGAACATAATTTATTTGAAATAGAAAGTTACTTTTGATTAATTTATGCATCCTTGATATATAAAAGTTTTAATTTCCAAAAAAAGTCTCATTGACCTTAAACTTTTAAAATACAAAAGAATAAAAATATTAATGGCACAGTTTTACATTACAATGTTTTTTGTTCAGCAAATTCAAGCTTTTACTGGAAGATATAGACCCTGACCAAAAAAAAAAAACCTACCTAATTTACTTTAAATATTTAACAAATTACATATTAGGCACAGTATGACCAGCTAGTAATTTCTAGTTGACACAAATAAGTAGATTGATATAATATATATAAGACAAGAAATTGCTATTTCACTGAATTTTTTAAGTGTACTTCCATTTCATTGCAACTTTAAAGAAACAGTAAAAAGTAAATTCTGTCATTATTTATTATTTCAGTCCATATCTACCTTCATGTCACTGCAAATCCATATTATTATGGCCGTGTTATAACTTATTTCCTCCGTAAAATAGAAGCACACAAAAATATGATCTTTGTACACGAAAAAACTCTTGCCATACAACAACAGTTTTATGCAACATTTTGGGTGATTTTGGTGTGTTCCTCACACAAACATATGTGGTTTAACCATGGTTTCAGTAGACTATTTCAGTTAGTTATTTGGACTCCTTTTAAGGTAATTATGTTTCTTTTGTTTGCTTGTTTTTGTCCTTTTGGTATTTTAAGACAGCTGTGGGCACTAGTTACTTGAAAAGAGTTATACAAAATTACCAGTGCTGGGGAAAAGTAATAGGGCTGGGTAAAAAAATATTGATATCTCGATATTAATCGATTCTCATTTTTACGGAACGTATCCCAAGAATCGATTAGTGTAGCCTGTTTTCAGTTAATGGACGGAACATTGAAGGGCACTTCCCATCCAATATATATCGTAATAAGCATTGTGCTTTGGTACTTTTAATATGAAACAAAGTATCCGATTTCAAATTCTGTCTATTGTATTGCAGTATTCAAACAATAAATGCCATTTTGGCGCTGTTTAATGTGGAGTGACAGATCTCTGTAGCGCCTCGGCAGCGCGAGGTGCAGGTGAACTGATCATCTCCTCCACATTAATACCAGCTTCAGCACAAAATAAACATGACTAAACATCCGAAGGTAAGTTAAAAGAAAGAGTACAACTTTACAATCCGTATCCGGTCTCATGTAATCGCTCAATCTGTGTTTCAGCCACGCAAATACGTCAATATAACGGCTTGTAAACAATGTCACGTAACGTCACATTTAACTAAATGTGTAAAAAAAAAAAAACATATTCGGTGACCATAAACTCATTAGTCAGAAAAATAAACTGCAGAGAGGGGCATTTTGCTAAATATATGCACCATATAACATATTCATTATAAATTTTTACTGTTCTTCAATGTTTAATTTATGTTTGAATAAATCCATCAAGTTATGACAGCCACCATGTTTATATTTCAAAAAAAATAATTGAAGTAGAAATATTATGTAATTGTAACTTTATTTTAAAAAACGTCATTAAGTGTAATTTTAACCTTCAATATTATAGTAATGTATTACCAACTGACACTCATGTATATTTTACAACATTAGTTGAGAGATTTTTTTTCCCTTGAAAATTTGGCATGTACTGTACCTGATATGTATCCAAAATAATCGATATTTAATCAAATCGAATCGGAAATCGAATCGTACTGCAAGCTTGTGAATGAGAATCGAATCGTGAAATTTGTGTCAAAACCCAGCCCTAAAAAGTAATGCATTACAATACTGCGTTACTACATAAAAAATAACTAATTGTGTTACTTAGCTTCTTTTTATGGAAAGTAATTACATTACTTTTGCGCTACTTTTTGTCACCTGCTGGGCTTGCTTGCTTAATTTTTAAAACAAAAAACACAAAAAGTTATATTTTTGGCAACTGTGAAGGCCCCTTCACACCAAAAGGGAAATTAATAAATCTGAGCCTCACTCCCAATTTCTCTCAAGACAGGGACAGGAGAGGTGTCAGTGAATAAATGGGAAAACAAAGTAACATTACCCCCATTTAAAAGAATTACATGAAGACTCTTCAACGAAGCCTCAGTTTGTATAAAGCACAATCCAAACCATACAAGTTTGAAATAACATGAGGGTGAGTAAATAATAACAAAATATTATTTTTTGAAAGAACTGTCCCTTTAAGAAATGTATTTGTATAAGTGGTGTAATATTTGTATAAGATGTTTCCTTTTGGGAGCTTCATGGACTGTCACATGCTACATGTCTGCAGGGGATTATATGACGGTGGCAAAACCTCATAATCATCCACTGCAGAACTATGGGGGTTGGAGAGCAGATTCAGCATGACTTTATTTCATAACTTCATAATTCCTTCCACTGTAAGTAATTAACAAACTCATCTGCCAAGAGATGCGTGTGCTGTGCAGTTCTTCGGTGTATTTGAAGGTGATTCTGACGTTAAATGGGTGGTGTGTTTCAGCAGCTGCCTGGCACACTATGTGTGGGACTCAGTAATTAACATCTCAGACCATGTGACAGGAAGGTGCTATGGAACACAGCAAAAACAGCTCAGATCGGGAAGCAGGAGCTCCACAGATCTGAAGTCTAAAACGTTGGTATCATTTCATGCCTTGTGCGGTTCATTCTATCATCTTAGAGGTGCATTAGCTTGACTAAATAATTACAGCATTGAGACAACAATCATTTTAGACTTGTCAACAGCAGCACTACAATAAAACATGTAATTAAACTCAATGGCTCAAGCTTAAACACACATAGGGGACGTTGCTGTGGTATTTTTAAATTGCTTAACACAAACATACTATAGATGAGCGTCTTTAGATGAGCGTCTTTGACGGTTGTGATGGGGCTTGCTGTATTTTTCAATATCCTACTTAAATTTCAAGACATCAAGGACTTACTTAAAGAGCACTTAAGTAAAATGTGGGGAAGGGTGTCATTATAAAACATGAAAAGGTAAGTTTATACCAAACACAACAAAACACACTAATCTGCTAAACTAACGCAGGGATCTGAATCAGTGAAACTTTTTTTTAAAATTTAATCTTTAATCTGTTTATTTACATGAACCATCTGAATGAATCGATTCACTTGAATTAACTGGACTTTCGAACACTAAATTTGACATAAGAACCAGTTCACTAAAATGGAAAGTCTGATTAATTTAGGTGAATTAGTTCATCCTAAACAATTTTCTCATAAGCAGTGTTATTTTACTATTATTAAAGATTTGTTAAATACTGAATTAGCTTTTTTTTTATTCTTTTGTCAACTGTATTTCTTTATATTTCTATATAGCTTTATATACATTTAATTTTTATTTATTTTTAGTCATTTTAGTACTTCAACATAAACTGAAAATACATTTTAGTTAGTTGCCAAGGCATTTACTCACCCTCACAATACTCACCCTCAAAGCATCCTAAGTGTATATGACTTTCTTCTTTCAGACGAATCCAATCGAAGTTATATTCAAAATTATCCTTGCCAGGGTGAATAAAGGCCTCCTGTAGTGAATCGATGTGGTTTTGTAAGAAAAAGGCGCAGGCGACTTCCGTAGGCGGAAGCCATGCCGGGCGGATGCCATAGGACGAAGTCGTAGCACACGCGCCGGTGATTAGTGACGAACACGAAAGCACGGAGAAGAGACAGCAAAACAAAAAGCTGGTCACAAATTAGAAGCACAAAATGATTTGTAAAGAAAAATGTCGGAGGATTTCGATATAAGCCAAGAGGAGACTGGTTTCCTTTGCTAAAGTAAGGAAAGTTTGCTTCCTTTGCTCCTGTAAACAAACTAGCAAGACTAGCATATCTCAGAGGCGCGCGCACGACGCCTACGTCCGATGTCATCCACCCGGAACGGCTTGCACATATGACAGTCAGCGGAAGTGAGAGAAAAGTGTTTATAATATTTTAAATATGGATATTTTTCCTACAAAAACATGTCGATTCGCTACAGGAGGCCTTTATTTACCCCCCAGAGCCGTGTGAGGCATGTTTTATTATGGATGGATGCATTTTATTTGACATCTTTTGGACTGTTGAACAAAAACACCCACCTACCACCTATTCTAAAGCTTGGAAGAGCAAGCATAATTTTTAATATAACTCCAATTGGATTCGTCTGAAAGAAGAAAGTCATATACACCTAGGATGCCTTGAGGGTGTAGGGTTTGTATTAGCTCTAAAAAGGGGAATATTTATGACAAATTATAACTGGTTATGATTCATAATAAATATTTAGATTATATCTTCGAATTAACTGTAGCAGAATCAATATTACAATTATTTGATCTGTCCGTCCACCGAGCAGACAATATAATCATTTATCAATTCAAGGAATGTTTATTTTTCTGGCCACGGAACAATAAACTGTCCTTCTTTGTGCAGTGCTCGCAGTAATTTAGCAAAATGTAGCAAGGGTTCACACATTCATTGACTTCGAACTGTGAGCAGCAAACAGTATAATTGAGTATCTGTCTGTGTGTGTGTGTGTGTGTGTGTTAGTTTACTTGGCCAGCCAAGCCCATCGGGGTCATTTACAGCTCTTTGGGACCGTGTTTGAAGTCAGATGGGGGAGATGATAGTGGGGGCTGGTTAGAATCTCCTTGACGGCGAGGAACCATTTGGCAATTTAAAACCCCTATACAAACGTAAAGTCTCTGACCAGAACTGTAATTTATATGCAAATGTCAAAAGGCTAAAAGGGTCTCTTAAGCCATAAACACCCCAAAGATCATGCATGATTCTACGCAGACGCTACAAGGGTGAGTAAAACATGGGCTGATTTTCATTTTTGGGTTAACTAACCCTTTAACTTTAACAACACTGCTCATAAGCAAGTCTGAATCAATGCCTTATATGACAGAGAAGAATGTTTAGAATGAACAGATTCACTAAAATAAATAAATTTTTCCATTGTTACATATTAGAGAGCACGTCCTCCTGAGCGCATTCTCAACAGTAGGCGCGCGAGGCGTCTTCTTCTTCGCCTCGCGCGCCTGCTTTTGAGAACGCGCCGCCGCTCAGGACAGTTCGGACATTGCGTTCTACTGAAGAAACAAAGTCACCTACATCTTGGATGCCCTGGGGGTAAGCAGATAAACAAGTCAAAAAGTCCAGTCAATTGTCAATAGTGTAGTGAAGTATAAAGTGCCCCTCACACAGGAGTCACTTTCAAACCAAGTAGCTTTCTGTCAATTCGCAACTAACTTGAACCCGTGGCAAAAATCTGTATGGGGAAAGTTTTTTTGCTCCTACGTGAAATTCACAATCGTATGCATTTCACCAGGTAAAATTGATAGACACACATGCAATCTAGAGCACACCAGCTTAAACATGATCCGGTTCATCAGAGGATGTAGTTACATTATCAGATGTTGAGCTCTGAAATGCTAAAACATAAAAGGACCTTCTGATTATCGCTGTATGTTCATGCGGAATGATTATTCATTGGTTCGTTTTAGCGTGACATGTCAGTGAAGCCCGCATCCACCACAGCTGTTGCATTGGACTCACATCCTATTAGAGCAAATGCCAACCCAGTGTACTGCCCGAGGGCAGCTTGTACTGACAGGAGAGGAGTGTCACATCAGTTGCTAGTGTTTAAAACTCCACTTTGCTTAACTAACTAGCCCTAACTCCCTGCTTTTAGGTCTTTTTCCAGAGCTTAGGAATCCCTTTGTGTGTATGTCTTGCTAAAACGACCACTTCTTTCGAAGAGGAAGCTTTGCTATCTATCACTATGTCACTTTTTATGACTCTGTTCTTTGTAGATACTGTTCACTGCCTATATTTCCCAGGGGTGGCACTAAAAAGAAAGGAATCTTATTTCCTCAACACCACAAACAAAAGCAGCCTGAAGTCTCACTTGTAAATTGATCAGCAGTGCTAAAAGGGGCTTTCTGCTCCACTCTGCACAATAAAAGAGCTTCTCCGCTAATATTTGCGCTGTGCTGCTATAGAAACCTTGAATCCATAAGTCAACCCACTGGATGAGAGAAACAAGTGCTTCTGTAACACGAGAAGTGGCCAACCGGGTGCTGCTAGAGGAGATTAATCAACCGATTACCAGCACCTGCTTCACACTGTCACCATCACAGCTCTAATGAGAATGCACTGGGTTAAAGCCAGTTTTTGGACAGTTCATGGACACGAAACATGAGCAGACAATGTGCGTCTTCTTCAGTGTTTAGTAACCTCAGTGACCGCTTGATATCAGGGCTTGACAGTGTTAGCATTTCACTTGCATTTGCAACTAAAAATATTTAGAAGCAAGGTGTGAATTTAAAAAATGTCCCTCGGTTTTATGAATTTTTAGCTCTAAAAAGCTTAAGTATCTAATATTATAGGGATAGCTCACCCAAAAAAATTTTTTTTTGCCATTATTACTCTCCCTCATGTCGTTCCAAATGTCTTAATTCCAAAGGTCTTAAATTTGGCAATGGAAAAACAGGAATCAAAAACAGCCTAATGCTTTTACATATTAATCTTCAAAAGGCTTTGATTGAACTGAATGAATATTACAATAGAACAGAATTTAAAATAAAAATCTTTTGTAACAATACAAGTCTTTACTATCACTTTTTTAATCAATTTAACATATCCTTGCTGAATAAATGTATTAATTTCTTTCAAGAAAGCAACAGAAACATAATAGAATTTCACAATATTACTGTTCTACTGTAATTTTGACCAAATAAATGCCATTTTGATGAGCATAAGAGACTTCTTTAAAAACATAAAAAATCTGACTGATCCCAGACTTTTGAATGGTAGTGTACTGTATATTAATATATAACTTATTAATATATAAATAAATACATGTATACACTACCATTAAAAAGTTTTACTTAAGATATTAATTATTTTATTCAGGAAGGATGCATTAAATTGATCAAAAGTGATGATAAAAGACATTTACAATATTACCAAGAAATTCTCTAAAAGTTAAGCTGCACAACAACATACATATATAATTTTTTTTAAATAAATTTAGGAGTACAGCATCTTGGTGACCTCAGACTTAATCGCTGTCATTGTAAATGCTACTTGAATGGCTCATTTTCAGAGGATTATTAATAAAAGCTGTCTAATTACATTCCAAGAGCATAATCTCCAGAAATATGAAGATCACTAAAATGTCATTAAATAAAATAAATTAAATAAATGCAACCCAAGTAATTACTTTTTAACCTTCCATGGACTGATGCAATCATGACGAGTCACTGCCGATAAACCACTGACAGCTTAAGGCCCAATCCCAATTCTATTTTATACCCCTTCCCCTTCCCCTTCCCCTACCCCTCTGCCTACCCCTTCCCCTTCCCCTTGTCTCTTGAAACAGAGTGTCAAGGGGTAGGGGTGAAAATATTCCCCTAAGAATTGGGACACCCCTACTATGCCATCACACATCATCATACGTCGTCTAGCTCCTACAATACACTCACCTATATTGGTGTGCTGGTGTGCATTAGAGCCTTTAATTATCGTTCTATATTAATGTGCTGCTTACTGACACACACACACACATCAGAGATCGTGCAGCTCACACATCCAGGAGCAAAGATACTTGTCAACGCTGCCCCATGACTTTTATTAATAACAGTTTAAATACTGAATCGCTACATTATATTTTCCAGCAAGAGGATAAAAATCGCTGTTTTTGAAGTAAACTCACTCTAAAAAGAGAAACGCACAGACGTGCATACACGCAACTTTCATCTCTCTCTCTCCGTCTCTCTCTCTCGCTCTTGAATTGGCAATATTTGAGAAAAGGGTTTAACGATTTATAATTATTGGGGGGACTAGCCCCCCTCAATGTCTATGTTGGTTATCGCCCTGATCAGACATGAAAAATATTGTGCAGTCTGTAATGATATGACGTTAGCAAACTTTAGCGATTTTTTGCAAACATTTCTTTGAGTAACATGACCTTAAATATGAACTCGCGATTGAAAGTAACATAAAACAAATGATTACTTTTCATTAAAATCTTTATTAATGCCCAAAAAATTCGTACATTTGTGTGTCTTTTTGTTCACTCGGGCAGCCATGTTGCCGCTGAAGCCGGTTTACGCTGAGATAATTCATACCCCTTCGTTTGAAGTGTGATCCCGAAAAATCTTCGTTTGAAGGGCTATCTGGCCCTTCCCCTTACCCCTACCCCTCCAACCAAAAGAGAATTGAGACACCCCTACCCCTTCATGTGAACGCGCAAAACGGAGGGGTAGGGGAAAGGGGAAGGGCTAAGGGGTAGAATTGGGATTGGGCCTAAGACTGCATTTATACGTATTTTCTTGACAGAAACTTTTCTAAAAAGTGAATTGCGCACAAGTGGATATTTTCCACAGCTTATTTCTCAGATCTGCGTTTCCTCAACAGCAAAGTGTCCATTACTTACGATTTGTCTCTTCTGTGGACATGTTGGCGTCTTTGGGGACTGCTGGCTGGTCGGCGGCGCGGTGATAAAGACTTGCCTCGGGTTCGTTCTTTGATTGGAGACTGAGCACTGGATGACTTGAGGATCTGCAATAAAACCCAGTTGTTTTAAAACATTAATACATTTCATATATTTTATTTTATCTTTGTATTTGCCAATTAGATATTATGCATATATGCACACACACACACCGAAGCAACTGAGACAATATGCAAATGTATATATAGCTAGGAGGTACTAAAGATAATTATTATCTTCAGTTTGAAGATGAAATTAAGATTTCAAGGCAATTAGAATGAAAAAGGGCTTGAAATCTTCCAGGTGGAAAAAGGCAAGCAGAGAAAGTCACAGATGAGGAATACTGCCTGTCATCAACCCGACAGGGATCCGGTGCTAAAGAATGACAGATCTACAATCAGTTTATTAAAAAGGGCCTGAACTTTTTCACACCACAGGGAGCAAACGCTGAATCACTCTAACTGTGTTTTCTCATTAGCGAGTGCAGCACAAATAAAGCTAGTGTTATGAAAAGCTCTACATTACGTTCATTAACTTGATGACGTTCATTAACTTCATTATGCTACGAGACAACAGATTTCCCAAACTCTCAATCACTCTATATATCGTGTTTTCCCCAAATGAGCTGCACAAGTGATGAGAGGCAACTTGACATTGCGATGTTCTCAGTCGTTAAAAGTTGATTTTTAGAATGAGATTCATTATGAATGACTCTATCAGCTCCATGCTGATTATGCCAGATGCTGGGTGTTCAGTACACCAAGAAACTTATTCAAGATGGACTGCAGTAATACATTTAGATTTCATTTCTGCAAACTCATTCCTCACATAATTGTAATGTCTTTGACTCAAAGATGACTAGTTTAATAACTGGTTAGTCAAAAAGGCTTTGTCCCAGAAAATGCACATTGAATTTTGATGGGAACAGTAGACTTGAGGACTAAACAGAAGACTGAACAGAATAAAATAATACATATATATTATACATACAGTATATATTCCTGTCACATGCTTTGAAATGTTCATATAGCCTAAACATAAAAGACAAGTTGCAAAAATATTTAGGTTTTGTAAAGCGCCAAATTCCTCAGCATCCATAAAAAGACACCTTCCATTCAAACATCTGGAATTACACTCTTTTTATATAAATATAAATAATATATTTTATAACATTATTAATAATATATTATAGTTATGGCATTTTGATTACAAAGCAAAAAAATGACAATGTAAAAAATGAAATACGCATAGATGAATTGTTCAAAATAAGATTGCAAATGCACTGTTTTGAAGAGTCCCAAATTCCTCAACATCCATAAAAAGATGCCTACATTAGTTTTAAACATCCAGAGCACAGTTTCCACTGTCTGCTCATGTGGAAACTATGTCACAGCTGACTGCGGTCATCCATACAAGTCAAGGCCGCATCTGAGAAACTGGGAGCACATGACCTACTTTTTACTGTCTAGATGATAAACACATCCCATGTTACAGTCATGCAGATTATCTCAAGCTAGCATGCTGGTCTAGCTCTTCGTAAACAGCCGAGGACAAATAAAGAATCTCCTGAAGCTGGTTCAGTAAATGAACCAGGGGTAAACATAAATGTTTACTTTAAAATAACACCGAGTATAAAAAAAGTGTGATCCATGTAACACTTCCCACAGGAAGTCTGACTTTATTTAGTTCCCACTGAACTAGCTTAGATTTTGAGAGGGACATTAGATCTCTATTCCAAAACCTAAGATATGTCATTTTGGCAAAAATATAAATATAAAATATCAATAATATATTTATGAAACAAATCAATAATAATGACATCTTTTGACATTTTATATAATCAAACATTAATTTAATATTATATTACACTATATTACATTTCAACTGAGTCTATGTATATATTATGGATTCAGTGAGTCATGTTTTAGTTTTGGTTTGTTAACCATAAAACAATTATCATTACTGGAATTACATATACAGTGGGTACGGAAAGTATTCAGACCCCCTTAAATTTTTCACTCTTTGTTATATTGCAGCCATTTGCTAAAATCATTTAAGTTAATTTTTTTTCCTCATTAATGTACACACAGCACCCCATATTGACAGAAAAACACAGAATTGTTGACATTTATGCAGATTTATTAAAAAAGAAAATCTGAAATATCACATGGTCCTAAGTATTCAGACCCTTTGCTGTGACACTCAAATATTTAACTCAGGTGCTGTCCATTTCTTCTGATCATCCTTGAGAAGGTTCTACACCTTCATTTGAGTCCAGCTGTATTTGATTATACTGATTGGACTTGATTAGGAAACCCACACCCCTGTCTATATAAGACCTTACAGCTCACAGTTTTTTTTTCCCCAGTAATGAGAATTGTTTTATGGTTGACAAACCATGGATGTACATCTGGATGTAATTTTAGTACTTAATTTTAGTAGTGTGTGTGTGTGTGTGTGTATATATATATATATATATATATATATATATATATATATATATATATATATATATATACACACACACACAATGTGATTTCTGTTTGTGATCATGTGATCTTCGGTTAGGAGATCTTGTGATGCTTTTTAAAGCAAAGTTGGGGTTGATTTCGAGTTCACATACAAACATAAATAGAATAGGCTAATTA